TTCCACGCCGTTTGCTTATCTATATAGGCCCGAAGGTTCCCTATCGAGCGTAGTAATGCCTATTGCGTTAAGCTAGTGTTTATTTACTTAGTAAGGGTATTAGGACCCCTAGTCGCTACCGCCGGCTTAGTGTCTCCTAGACCGGCGCAAGTATTATAGAAGAAAGGAGGAAGAAATACAGAAGATAGTTGCTTTTGTAGTAGCTGCTATACTTTACCCTATATTAACTACTTCTCGGCAATAAGCTAGATCTACCTCTTCTACCTTAGCAGTAACAATAGCACCGAAGGGCTAGTTTGTTTACTTAGTATAGGCGGCACTAAAGGAATAGCATTAATTAAGTTAGAGGCAGTAAGAGTGCTACAACCCTTGCTCCCTTAGTAGACTTAGTGCCTATCGGGAGGCGTCTATAGCACTAACAAACCCTAGGCGTATATAAATAGTCTAAAACTTGCCGAAAGTTAATAAAAGTTGCCGAATAATATCTAGTCGCTAAAGGATAAATAGTCTCGAAGGCACAACCTTATAGAGAAGCGGGCGCTGGAGCTCTTACGAATCTCGCTAATCTTGCTACTACCGCGACTAATAGTATATCCTGCTATATTAGCCGGTATACTAAAACTTTGAGTTTAGATATCCCCGCCGTCTTTAGACAACGACCGCTTTACAAGCGGCTTAAAGCTAATAAAACTTAGTAAAAGATGTCGGCTATATTAGCCGATATGCTAATACTTTGACTTTAGATATTCTCGCTATCTCTAGACAACGACCGCATTATAAGCGGCTTAAAGCTAATAAAACTTAGTAAAAGATGTCGGCTATATTAGCCGATATGCTAATACTTTAACTTTAGATATTCTCGCTATCTCTAGATAACGACCGCATTGCAAGCGGCTAAAAGTTGCTAAAACTCGATAAACGATATCGGCTCGTTATAAATAACTAATATCCCCGAGGCCGATCGCAGCGCTAAGAGCGGTAGGGAGTAACGAATTAAGTGTTAAAGTAACAATAGCAGTCGGATAGTATTATAAGGCGTATAGTAAAAGTATAATACCGAAGTGAGATCGATATAGTAAAATTGAGCTCGATAAGAGAGTCGCTTATAAATTAGACTCCTCGCCGACCTTCTTCTATTCTCTTTCTTCTTTACCGATATATACTATCCTCGCCTTTAATACCTCGCCGTCGCAGTCGCTACTATATCTAACTAAGAACTCGACGAAATTGTAGACTTTGCGCTAGACTTTCTATCTCCCGGGGCGTAGGCGCCTCTACTATAATAGTAGCAGCAGTAGGACTAGTAGGACTAGTAGGACTAGTAGGGCGGCTCGGTTTAGGATATCGATGCCCTAGACGAGTATGCCTTCTATCTTCGCCTTATATAAGGCCGTAGCTAATATATCCTAGTATCGTTAATATAGCGGCCTTAGCGCTACTAGCTCTAGCACTATCTCGGCGTTCTAGTCTAAGTGCATAGGCGCGTCGATAGCAAGACCGCTCTCGCTAAGGCCTACCTCTTGTCTCTCTACCTCCTCCTCCGCTACCTCTAGCCTCGACTTTAGCACCTAGGGCGCTACTACCGCTAGCACTAGTACTAGCACTAGCACTAGCTTAGGCTTAGAAGAAGAAGAAGAAGAAGGGTCTAAGTAGCCTACAGATTGCGCTACGCTGCCTATAGGCCGATAAGGCCTACTATTCCGAGACTATAAAGCTATAGATAGAGAGTTCGAACGAGATATAGATTAGATTAACGCATATCGGCCGTATCGAAGAGACAGATAAAGGAGAGTTGCGTACGCCTACCTATAAGCGCTATACCCGCTTAGGCTATACCTGTCGTATATATACTAAGGAGGGCAAGCGGGTACACGATAGTAGTGCCGGCAATATAAAGTGCGGCCGCTATCGATACCGTAGAGTCGGTAATTCTAAATGTATAGATTCTTAAGTTAAAATGATATCCGTACCTATATGCCTACGATATACCTCGTTTTCTACCTCTTATTATTTGAATCTTGCGCTCTAAGCGGCCAAATCCGATCGTTAATGTCGCTATCGTCGTTCCTCTACCGATATATAAGATCGTATAATCCTCGCGCCTTAGCTACTATATTTTCTTCTCAACCTAAAACTCCTCTTCTAATCGGTTCGAATCTATAGCATAGAGGACGATAAACCCTATAGCTCCCGAGGACCCGAGGTCCTACAAACCCTACTTACAAACTTTGTAGGTTTAAGGCGCGCGGATAATACTCGAGGGGTAAAAATTAGTAGCTTAGACAGGTTAGATAGGCGACGTAGGCTTAGCTAGGGTAGGCCCGTCCGCGGCCCTACCTCGAACGAACTTTTAGCAACTTTTATTAACTTTCGGCTAATAAGACCTAAGAGCCTCTTAGCAGCGGGTACTATACGTTAAGAAGCCCGTCTCCGAAAATTCTTATTAACTTTTAGCATTAATAACGCCGCTAGTCTAGAAGCATACGTCGCCTAACCGCAACCTTCTTAGCCGTAAGATGCACTATATCTTAAGGGCAGGGAACGCAGCTAAACATTCTATAGGCATAAACATCTAGCAACTCGACGACTTTACCCGCTAAACACGATCGCTAACGACTATCGCCTACGATATACTAGCTCGTATTGCTCTAATTAAGGCAAAATTTAAGGGCACTAGAGACTAAGCTAGTCTAGTCGTTAAGAAGCCTATAGATTATACCGGCGTCGCCGCGATAACGGTTATACTAGAATCCCGGAGCCTGCAGGCTTAAGGAGCGCGGATATTACTTCTATATTTAAAGAGCTAAAAAATAGATATTAGGCACAAGGCTTTAGTACAATAACAAGACTTTAGTATAATAACAAGACTTTAGCATAATAACAGGACTTTAGTAAAAGAAGATAGCGAATTATATAAAGGTCTAAAAAGATCAAAATAGTTATTATCTAGAAGAACAACACCTCTATAAAAGGCTAATACCTAAGCAAAAGAAGATAGCCCCTCCGAGATTCGAACCCGGGTTACTCTAGTATAAAAGAGATATTCTCGATCGAGCATAACGCAAGTATATAGATTGTGACCGCTCTCGGATGCCTAAGCAGTGCTGCCTCCGGCCCTAGGAAGTCTCTACGAGTAATGTAGAGCTAAGGCTAGAGGTATATAACTGCTTAATAGGCGATCTTCGAGCAATTACGCTCCGTTACTATACCGCAGAGCGTAATCAACTACTATACTAAAGGGCCTAATTAGATAACAGCAAGGCTATATAGTGCCTATATTAATGTCCCTTATCTACGGCAATATCGACAAGTTAAACAAGTCCTATAGCCCTAAGGAGATTAAGGGATTAGGTTAAGGAACTTACCCTAGGCAGCTTCGGTTATTACCTTATTCGCCTTATAGAACAGGCCGATATTAATTAGTACTTATCTACGAGAAGTTAAACAATGACCTTAAGTCTAAAACAACTAGCAAATTCCCGCAATAGATAGACGAGAAGTGCAACGATAAGAAGTTAACAATAACCTTAAGCCTAAGATAAGTAGTAGACCTTAGTAAAATAAGAAGGTTAACAATAACCTTAAGCCTAAGACATTCGGCAAGTCTCGACGTAATAGATAGACGTTACTCTCGGAAGATTTTAGAAAGTAGTAGAGACGGATATTATATTTCTTAGCGAAGTAGTCGTAGAGGGACATAGTTACCTTATTGCCTCGAGGATTAGTAACCTGCACCTTATACTGCTTAGTATCCTAGTAGATAAAGCGCTCGATATAATACTTATCCTCGTTATACTAGCTACGGCGCTTAGCAATAACGCGGACCTTCCGGAACTTCTTAAGACTAATACTATACTTGCCCTTCTCCCCCTTACGCTAAATGCCGGTAATAAGGTCGCTAATGTCGCGAGCACCGTAATAGCAGATTAATAAAGTATATCGGTAGTCTAGAAAGTGCCGTTAGCTACATCGACATTAACAGAAAGGCGGCCTAGGTAAACGACACGTAGAGACTAGTATATACCCTTAAAAGCCTCGATACCGCTACCTAAGATAGACCGAGTCTAACTACGAGCGAAGCGTT